ATTAGAAAAATCAAGTTAAAAGTAAAATGATATTAAAATAAAATTGGCAAAAAAAAACCCAACTATTTGACTATATATTTAATCAAATACTTTTGTTTTTGTTGCCAGTTTTAAAAAGAACTTTTTATTAATTAATTAAATTGGTGTTGTTTAAATTGAAGTTGTCAGAAGCAGGTCCGCGGTATTTTTTCAGTGAATTGATATAAAATCTTGAAATTATTTTTTGTTTGTAGTTAAATGAAATTTATTTTGTTAAATGATTGTTGAAAAATTGCTAAATATGCAACGGCATAAAATTTTGTAATTAATTTATGCCAAATTTCATCGAAATTCAACATTTCGATGATTTGCGTTATTCCGTTAGATTGTAAGAGTACTTTCATTAAGAATAAAAAAGTTGTCATTATAAGTAAAGTTGTCAACTTTTTTTAAATTTGTTATATCATAGCATTAATCTTTTATTGCATCAGGTAAAAATGATTTATATTGAAACTGTACTCAATAAAATGTTTATATATAAAAGATTAAAATAATTTTTTTTTTCAGATATTAAATTAAAATATTATTTTTATTTAATGCACAAATTTTAATTCAATCTGGAGAAACACTCAAAAAAAAATTTTAAATTGCGTGAAAGATGTTATTTTGAGACATTAATTTTGAATTGTCCTTCGTGCACTGATGACCTTTAGATATAAAGTTTGTTAAACTTAACTTGATTTTCAAACTGTTCATGTTCAGAAACAGTATCTAAAGTTCCTATCAAATGGACTAAAAATGGACTAAAAGGAAAATTCTTATGCTTTTTTGCCTAGTTCCAATTTTATTACAAGAACTAGCTTCACAAATAAAGAAACATTGCTAAAATCAGTGTTGCAGGGATAACAAAAGCAAACATAAAAATTTTTTTTTTTTCTGTTTCCGAGTAAACAATATATTTTTCGTACAGCAATATGCAAATATACAATCCATTTTTTACCATCGTGTCAAGCTATAAAAATATTCAAATCAGTGCTTGATTCAGTGCAGGGTTCAAATTAGTGCTGATTTGGAGAGGATGGGGGAAGAGACACCTTAGCCCCGGGCCCTAAAGTTTTAGGGCCCCCGATTTAAAGTTTAAAAAATTATTTAAAAATAATTGGCTTTTTAAAAAATTATTTAAAAATAATTGGCTTTTTTGAGAATTATTAAAAATAATTCTAAAAAAAGCGTATTTTCATTGAGATTTTATAAATAATTTTTTCTGATAAAATAAATGCTTTTATATTAGAGCTGAAAAACATTTTGTTAAAATTATTTTTCAGAATTTTTTTTTCAATATGTTTTTATTGATTTTTTTGTTGAATTTTTAAAATTTTCTTTTAATGAATAACTTAAAAATTTGAATATATATAGCATTGCATGACCGTAAATTAACCTTAATGTTATTGAGATTAAATTACTTCCTTAACTTTTATTAAAAATATCTTCGAAAGACTCTATTAAATTATTTTGCATTTTATATAAACTTCTTTGAAACATTTTGGTTTTTTCTCTCATTTTAGTTACAACGTATTTATATAAATGTCAAGAAAAAAAAAGACTAGGTGATAAGGCGAACCTGTCTTCTTTTCGTCCTTGCCATTTTTATATATTATAAAACACGGAACTTGTAAATACTTGTAAATAAATAAAAAATTAAAAAAAAAAGTTGATAAATTTTTAGTAAAAAATACACAAGTTAACTTATAAGTAAACATATATTTATTTTTGACAATATTAGCGATTTTGCCGCAAATACTAAAGATTTGAATTTTGAAGATTGAACAAATATCTATATAACTTGACGCGATGGTGAAAAATGACTTACTTATTTGAAATCAAAATGAGAAATGCTATACTAATAACATATTGTTTTATCCGGAAACAGTATATAAGTTTTTTTGTTGGCCTGTACTGTTTTATAACTTTTTTTTTTTTTTAATACTAATGCAAAAAAAAAAAAAAAAAAAAAAAATATGCACATTCTAAACTAATTTAAATATTAGAAGAACCTACATACGCAACAACAGTCAATTATTTCGTAACACTTTAATTAACACTAAAAAAAGCGGCAGAAAGATAAAAAAACATCATAGGGCCTTAAAACATTTAACTTTTATTTTAACAAGACTTAACGCTCGAGTGATATTATAAATGCATATAATTTGCTAAAACCAATATAAGACAGTAATATTAATAATTCGCTCAAGGTTTTTTTAAATAAATTGTAGAGTTTACAATTTTAAAGATATGAATTATAAAGTTTTTCCTAAAATAAGCAAACAACCTAGGAGTCTAATTAGACTCCTAAAATTATAACTTTATACAAAAAAACAATTAGGCAAAATCAAAAAGATATTTTTTACAAGAATAACAATTTATTGTTTTAAGTTATAAAATTGTTTACTTTTTAACCATTAGTTTTTACTCACTTGTAAATTTACTAAAATGCGCTTCGTATATACTCTTATCTTAAATAATTTTTTATCTAAAATGTATTTGTAAATTACGCTAATTGTAAACGTAACAACTTTTTAAAATTTTTTGTTAATAAACACGTCATGTTATTTTCGGTTTCCCATTAAAAATATCTGCCACACATCTTTGGGTCGTACTTACGACTCAAAAATGTTGGACAGATGTTAGGTCGTACTTACGACTGTAGTATACAAACACTAGTAGAAAAGCAGAATGGTATAACTATTCTATTATTTTTTGCATGCTTTTTTTTTCTTAGTTCTCAAAGTGTTTTACCAAGTTTCCAAAACCCTTTTTCTAATTTTAGACAGCTATGTACTTGCCCGCATAAATAATATAGTTTATGTAATGTAGTATATAGTTTAAATATAAAAACATTAAAAAAAAAAACCTTTACAAAATAAAATATTAAGTTATCCTAATTGTTCTACTTATTTTTATTCAATATATTTCTTCAGTTATATGTATTTAAGATTAGTGTTAAGGTAAGTATTTATATGGATAAGCCACAATAGATTTTTATAAGTGAAAACTTGTGTAAGTTTTTTCGATGCTAGTTTTTAATTAGTCTATTAAGTGATGATAAATTTTAAACCAGTCCTTGTTTTAAATCCTAAACTTTCTTCAGTCCTTATACCGTTTTTTATAGCCATACTAAACAAAAATAATTTAGTATTAGTAGTATAATTTAATTAAACCCATTAGCCATCTGAAGATATAAAAACAAAATAGGATCAAGAATTAACCATAACAGGGATTAACCTAAATTGTTAAACAATTTGTGCTTTACACAAAATGTTTAATATTTATAATTACTGATTATTTACATATTGTATTCAGGTAGGTTGTAATCTATTTAACGGTTTGTTTGTATGCCGTAATACATAACTATTTCATCCAAGAAGATAAAGTCTTGCCAAGCAATATAATTTTAAGATTGTCTGCCAAGCAATTATTTTATAAATAAAATTTTAAGATCGTCTGCCAAGCAATATAATTTTAAGAAAAATTTAGACGTATGGTAATAATATCAGAAGTTCATTTGATTTCAATTTAACGACATTATTTTCACAACTTTTATAAAAACAAAACTCTTTATTTATAAATGCTTATCTTTATGTAAAAATTCTTTGTTGCCGAGCACTTTGAAAATGCGGCGAATTTGTCTAAAATTTAGTCCTTGAGTTGACTTAACCAAAAAAGTTTTATAAAACTTTGTGATTTATACATCTTTTTTTTAAATTAACAACAAGATTAAATAAGACAAGAATCTTATTATTTTTACTTGTTAAGCTTCGACAAGTATATACGAGTATAATAAATTGACGTCAAGAAATAACCGTTAAAATAATATTCTCATAATAAGAGGGAAGTTTAGTCAAGTATAAAAATCAGGTTTATAACTATTCAGTCTTGGCTAAACACAACTCAATGTAACATGTTGGTTGTTCTATATACTTTTTACAATAACAAAATATGTATAAACAACACATACTAAAATTTATAGTAGGTATACGCAAATAAATGCGTTTAAAGACGTATATTGCTTTACTTATTATGGCATTGTCAAGCGACAAAACTATTGCATATATCTACGATAAAAATAAAGTTTACAAACTCGAGGATCTTAAGTTTTTTAAATTAATACAACTGTATTTGACGGAATAGGAAAACACTAAATCCAATCCTTCAAAGTGCATTCTAAATTTTTTCTAACCGATGCGATCTCCAATTGAAATATAGTTGTACTTTAAAATAAAAGAACTCCGAGATTTTTTATAACAGTCAATAACATTTGTATTTAATATTTATTATTAATCATGTTATTATTAATATCGATTTGATAACATTTATATCACATTGTATATGCCGTAATCGGGTCTAGAATTTTTAAAAACTGTTCAAACAGCACTTTGACGGATTGGATTTAACGTTTCCCGACGGAATACGGGTAAAACGATCACAAACGCTGTTCATACGCTACCGTTATTTTAGAATGTTGTTTCAAATATGCAATTTACTCCCACGTTAATACTTATCTTACATTTACCGCGTCGCATTCTTCTCCTAATCAAATTAAGACTGTAGTAAAAATAGTAATACCATAACAATAAATCAGTAAACAAGCATAAAACCAATTTTTCTCAAACCTAGCTAAGAAGATTTAATCATTTAAATTTTGTTAAACAACATCATGTTTTTATGAATTGAATAAATTGAACTTATTGCAAAAATATTCTTTAACAAAATAAAGTAATGTGTTTTCTTGATGCCGTCAAAATTTAGGTTTAGAAGTTGTTAGACAGGAAAAAAAAAATTTTTGAAAGATATTTTGATACTGTAAATTGAAAAATTATTTAAGATGTATATTGGCCAAAATTCTGAACCTATTAAGGAGGCTTGCAAGCACAAAAGTTTGAGTTTTCTGTTGTAAATTCATTTTAAATTTCATAATGTGTGAATAAATTTTACTAATTTTTAAAAAAGAAACTATGAACAAA